TTTTGTTCTCTGCTCACTTAACCTTCCCATTGATGTGCCGCTTCCATGGAAGAGGAGGACCCTGCGGGGACCAGTCAGCGTCCCAATGAATTCGGCACATCTGTAATGTTTGACATCTTATTTGCTTATTATTATTATTTTTTTTTGTTTTTGCGGGGAGGTGGGCGCTGCGCCTTGGATTCGTCCTCGCTCGTTAGGTGTAGGGGAAGCCGGCCGCGGCAGGAATGCACTTATTTATCGCGCTTCTGCCGCTCACCTTTGGCTGGTCTGTTTTGTTCTTTGGTGCTATACTGTTCCTGCGGCTGCGGGGCATTGAGGTCGCACTGCGTCGCTTGAGGCCCGAAGCGGTGGGGCAGCGAAACCCAACGGACGTGGCCGCGCAAAAGGATGCCCGGCGACCTCTGAAGGTGGTGATTCTCCATCCTGACCTTGGCATTGGCGGGGCAGAGCGACTGATCATCGACGCAGCGGTGGCTCTGCAGAAGCACCAGCACGTCACTCCCATCAGCGTCACTATTGTGACGAATCATCATGATCCGAAGCGCGCCTTTCCTGAGACCGTGGACGGCACTGTGAAGGTGGTGGTGAGTGGGGCATGGCTACCGGATCACTTCATGGGACGCGCAAAAGTGTTCTGCACAACGCTTCGGATGGCCTGGGCCGCCTTAATGATCAGCTGCTACTACCCTGACACCGACTGTGTCGTCGTGGATCAAGTGGCCGCCGTGTTGCCGCTCCTGCGCTCTGTCGCGGCCTACGTCCCACGTCTTTTCTATTGCCACTTCCCCGACCAGTGCTGTGACGCGAACCGCAACGCGGAGGGTGTTTTTCTGAAGCCCATTTGGAAAGTACACAAATTATACCGGCTCCTTTTCGATAAGTTGGAATCGCGGGCGATGGGTTTTGCCGACAGCATTGTTTCAAACTCAAAGTTCAGCAGAGAGGTGACGGTGCGGGTCTTTCCGCAGCTTGAGACTGTCATTGACGCCGAGACAGATATTTTCTACCCTCCCGTTTCGTGGGTGACGAAAGACACTCGCACCGACGTGCCGCCCGACCTGGAGAAGGGTGAAGTGGCGACGTTGCACAAACGGCTGGAAAATCGAAGTGTGGTACTCAGCATCAACCGGTACGAGCGGAAGAAAAATATTTCGCTGGCAATTGAGGCCTTTGCCCGCGTGACGGCGGCGGCGGCGGCCTCAAACACCAACTCGAAGCCGCCAATTCTTGTCATCGCCGGCGGCTACGATGTCCGCTTGGCGGAAAACGTGGAATACCTGAAGGAGCTGCAGGAACTGTCGGTGCGCCACGGCCTCACGGAGGATCAGGTTCTCTTTCTGCAGAACATATCTGATGCGGCCAAAGGTTATTTGCTGTCGCGGTGCTGCTGCCTTGTATACACACCGGCGATGGAGCATTTTGGAATTGTTCCCACGGAGGGGATGGTGTGTGGAAAGCCGATCGTCGCCGTGAACCAGGGCGGCCCGTGTGAGAGCGTGGGCGAGGGTGGGACTCTTTGCGATCCCACACCCGAGGCGTTTGCGGCGGCCGTGGCTGCGTATGTGGCAGATGAGGAGCTGGCAAGGCGTGTGGGTGCAGCTGGAAGGCAGCGCGCATTGCGGCTCTTTGGTATGGATGTATTTGGTGAGAAGCTGGCACGAAGACTAGTGGAATTGTGGACGGCGAAAAACGAGCAGCTGAAGTCTGCACAAGGCGAGAAGGACGGTCAGAGCCAAAAGAGCAAATAATTCATAAATAACTGCTCAAATTAGTAATAAAAAAAGAAGACAAACAACTAG